TTTCTATGAAAATTTCTCAGACATTCAGGCCGGTATATGTTGTCAGTACTAGTTATTATAAACAGAGCATTTACTTAAATATTTTATCTATAAAAAAAGAATGTATAATCATAAAAAATGTCTTAAAAGAATGTGTATGTATGTAGGTATACGGAGTTGTGTACGTTCTCTGATTCTCCTCTCCTTTCTCCTGTTTCCTTCTTTCTCTTTTTACTTTTTTCTTTGTTCCATTCTTGAAAAATCATCTCCACTCACTTTTCTTATCCGGTGAATAAGAGGTCAACGCTACTACTATCGCATCTCCTAGAGACATATACCTCTCTCCTTCCTTTCTTACTTTGTGGAACTATCTTAAAACACAACTATCTTAAAACACAACTTCCATTCATCTTGTTTTCGTTTTTCGGTTGATTTCCAGAAGAATTTTGAATCCATTGATCATTTTGAAACCGTCGGGTTTGATAAAGCGAAATCGAATTATCAGTTTTGCGAAATAAAATATTACCATGGTTTTCTGAAGTCTCCGATTTCTTAATTATATGCACACACACACACACACACAGAGACACACGCACACACACAGACACAGACACAGACACACACACACACACACACACATATATATATATATATATATATATGGTATAACAGTCCAAATTGGCCAAATCGTGTAACAGCTTTCAATAATTGCCCATCCAACAAAGTATTTAATAATTGCCCATCCATCAAAGTATTGCCCATCCAACAAGTATTTAATATCTAAAAATAAACATTAAATTAATTGAGATTCTTTTATGGAGGTTTTCATATAAGTCACCATTTATCGTAAGAATCACTTACAGTTATTCAGCTAGAAAGCGGACAAGTTCAAATCGTTTTGTCGCATTCCCACTATGTCTTCTCAACTGAGAAACGGTGAGAGGAAAAGATCATTCATGTCTTCAGTATCAACATTCATACATTTGCTTCCATTTGCAAAGTCCGTTTTTTTTAAAAAAGAAGGGACAGTAAAGCGAACAACTGCATCTCGAGGTCACAAGAGGAAGAGGGATCATCGTTTCAATTTAGAGCCTAATAAATTCTTATTCTTCAAAGTAGAGTCTAATAGTTTTTTTGTTTTTTTTTAATTTAGTAAAAAGTTATCACTTAGCTGATTGACGTTACCTTCAGCATCCCGACTCCAGAGTTTCCTATATTGGAACTGTCCGTCCACTGTTCAGGGGATAATAGCCATTTACTGCTTATATTTTTCGGTTTTATATATATATTTAACATTGAATTTTTTTATATATATATATATATATATATATATATATATATATATATGTATGTATATATATATATATATATATATATATATATATGTTGAAACATATATTTATATATATATATATATATATATAGCAATTCAACGAGCCAGAATAATCTTCAGTAGAATGCAATGGACGGCCGTTTTCGTTTTATTTTTGGGACTCATCAGCAGTGCGCTTCCACTATCGAGAATCGAACCCGGTCCAACTGTGCCATGGGACTCGGTGATAATGAAGACATAAACTAGACTCGACATAACGCCGCTACTCACCCAGTTCCTCAGAGATACTCATCCAAGTATGGGGATAATCAAGAAAGAGTGCCCCAAGAACCACGTCTTCATATATATATATATATATATATATATATATATATATATATATATATATATATATATGTATAAGTGCGTAGGTATGCAGAAATAGAAAAGAACACGTTGGGTGCATAATCCGGAGTTCCTTAGTATTTTTGTCTTTTATTTTTAAGAAGACAGTGCTCCATACAGAAGTTGAGCTTATATTATAATAATATTTTTTGTTTAAAAATATGATTCCTTCGCTACATAAAAGTTCTCATGTTTCAAAAACGAGAGCCGAAATCATCCAAATAATTATTAAAATTAAGTTGAATTGAGGTGTTTAGTCCCGTTTCATCTTCAAGCGAAATTTTAGGAATAAGCTATCTCTCGGTTTACGTGTATTTTTAGGCACGGTGCCTAATATATATATATTTAGGCAGCAATACTTTTTATGCATTTCATTAAAAGCGACATACGAGGTACTACGATTAAGCTATTTATTTAATTTTTCTTGTGTTCGAAAAAGTGTTTAAATTTTTTTGGACACAGAGTGCGTAGAAACTGTCCTAATGTATAATTCCGAGCGCTTTCGGCTAGACTTTTAGCCATTATCAAAGAAGATTTTATTTTTTCAGTTTAATTGGGTGCGTGCGTTGTGTGAGTGTTTTTAGTATTATAGAAATGTTTTATTTTCCGAACACAGCACATTGTGGCCGTGTTCGTAGTTAATATTATTATGTGTTAGCTTTTACTTTTTTATTATTAAGGCTTCCATTATTTTTAATCATTTTTATACATGTGGATGAGGTTATTATGTTTGTGTTTTCTACTAGTCTGTTTCAGTTGGAGTCTGGTAAGATTGTGTGCATGTTTATGCGGGTTCCAACAACGCACACACTCAATTGAACTGAAAAAATAAAATCATCCTTGATAATGGCTAAAAGTATAGCCGAAAGCGCTCAGAATTACAGAAAATTTGGACAGTTTCTAGATGTAAGGTAATATGTTGTGACTAGTTTGAAATATACTTAATAGTAGTCACAACACATTATATTGCATCTAGACATTGGTTCTGTTGTAATACTTCGGTCTATCGTGCCCTATGACGTCATAGAACAGCATTTTGAACTTACAATCTGAATCTGTATATATATATATATATATATATATATATATATATATATATATATATATGTGTGTGTGTGTGTGTGTGTGTGTGTGTGTGTGTGTGTGTTTGGTTAAAATAATAGTATTTTTAGACAGCAATCCTTCATTTATGTATGTTTCATTAAAACTACAGGCAAGGTGTTATGATGAAGCTTTTTTATTTAATATTTCTTGTGTTCAAATAAATGTTTTCTTTTTTGGACACAAAGTGTGTAGAAACTCTTCAAATGTTTTATGAATCCGAGCGCTTTCGGCTATACTTTTATACCTGTGTGTATGTTTTTAGTATAATAGAAATGTTTTAATTTTCGAACTCATCACATTGTGGCCGTGTTCGTCGTTAATATTATTAAGTGTTAGCTTTTACTTTTTTATTATTAAGGCTTCCATTATTTTTAATATTTTTATACATGTGGATGAGGTTATTATGTTTGTATTTTCTACTAGTAAGTTTCGAATGGAATCTGGTAAGTTTGTATGTGTTTAAATGGGTTCTAATATAGCTGTGGTCAAATAGGTATAATGTAAGTCGTATAGTTAGGCATGTAGTAGTGTGACAGATGTAATTATTTATGAATTCGGTTTGACCCGGAAAACAATTCCTTAAGGGCATTTGAATTCATAATTTTCGTTCGTTGTGATTTTGAATTCGCTAGAGTGTTGTTATTCTTGAGTATATTATTAGCTGTTTTAAATTGTTTATAGTAGCTAATAATCTGATTTATATATATATATATATATATATATATAAAAGTAAAGTGAACATAAAGTCAACACTTAGAGGCGACAGTCTGTTTCATGCTATATGGAATATTGCATATAGCATGAAACAGACTGTCGCCTCTAAGTGTTGACTTCTATGTTCACCTTTTATCTTTATACACACGCTCTATCTCTGATATTGAGCACTTTATCTCATAAATATAGCACACCTTAAGACTATATTTCTTCATATATATATATATATATATATATATATATATATATATATATATATAAATATGTGGAGCACTTCACATCATATTACAATGAATCATTCATACAAAAATTAGATTAGTAAAGTTGATGATATAAAATGGCGAAATCCTTTCGCCAACAAAATTTTAAAGTTGCATTAACCTACGAATCACTCGATGTAGACTCCAAAAGTTTGTATCTGTTAACAATAACTCATTTGAAAAAAAAAAAAAAACATATTTCGATTCGCATTTAATTTTTTCGTCTCGGATGCTACATGGATTTTACTAAAAACAAAATAATTTCCATGCCTGAGGATGACTGAATGTACAGTTGAAAGTACTTACGTATTAAAAAAAGACCTTATACAGCTTATAATTATTTTATTTAAGCTAAAGGATTTCGCCATTTTATATCATTACCTATACTAATCTACTTTTTGTATGAATGATTCATAGTAATATATATATATATATATATATATATATATATATATAGATAGATAGATAGATAGATAGATAGATAGATAGATATAGGCTTGCAAAAAGGTAGGTATACCGTAAAGTTTTATACCAGTACTTTAATAGTGCTTCTAGCATTCATTTAATTTATTAAAATCATATTAATATTTTATTTTCATAATTTTTATTATAATATATTTATTAACATTTTTATTGTTTAATCAATAATAATAATAATAATAATAATAATAATAAATATTTTGCAGGTGAAGAGGAATGTGTGAATGTAGGGGTGGGGGGGGCAAATAGTTTGAACAGTGGAAGGATTGATATGTTTATTATTGATATGTTTGTATAATCAATTACAATACGTATTGTGCGCACGTTTTGTTTTTCATTACTGTATAACTATATTTGCATCCCCCTATATATATACATACATATATACATCCATCCATCCATATATATATATATATATATATATGTGTGTGTGTGTGTGTGTGCATGTATAGTGTGTGTGCGTGTTTCATTCTTTCTGACGTATCTTTTCATCATTTTCTTTAAGGAATCTTAATCCCATCTCACCTCGTTTTTATTCTTTGTGTCTTCTTTTCTTTTCGTTTATTTCCAGACGAATCTGACCCTTTTTTTCCTTCCTCTCTATTATTATTTCTCTTTCATAATCCCTGCCGACATCATTCTGATCTCATTGTTCATAAGATAAACATGTCATGTAAGAAAGCAAGCCTTGCAAAAAACAGTTTCCTATTATGCGTTTCAATCTGTGAAGGAGAACCTGCTTTTCAATGTTTCTTCTTCTTCTTTTTCCGTTTTTTTCTTCTTCTCTTTTTCTTTTTAATATTATTCATTCGCTCTTTTTTTTTCTTCACTTTATTTCACACTCCTTCATTCGTTCTCTTTTTTTCTGCAACCTTTGCTTGCATATACCATTTATTTTTTTTGTTTTCATTTTATCGCTTCTTTCTCACTTCTTTTTCAATTTTTACGTCTTTTTGCAGTTAGGCATGTTTTCCCCTTTTCCTCCTGACCTTCTCTCAGAGTGTCTCTCTTTCCTTCTTTCTTTCTTTCCTTCTTTCTTTCTTTCTTTTCTCTTCGTCTTTGTTTTTTTCTTTCTTCACAGTCTCTCTTGATTTGTTCATCTTACTTTCTCTGAATTTTGTAGCATTTGGCCTACAATTTTACATCCGACACACATCCTTATAGGAGCACACTGACACACACACACACACACACACACACACACACACACACACACACATATATATATATATGTCTTTATCTCTCTGATTTTCTATCCCTAACTATTATCTATTTATCTATCTGTCTCTCTGTCCCTCGTATTTTCTCTCTCTCAATATATATATATATATATATATATATATATATATATATATATATATATATAGGAGTCACTTATATACCTGTTTACTTTTTCTATAATACCTAAAGGATGTCGTTGTATAGAACCTTATCTCTGTCTATCTATATATCTATTTGTCTATCTACATATCTATCTTTGGATATATATATATATATATATATATGTGTGTGTGTGTGTGTGTGTGTGTGCATGTGTGTGTGTGTGTATGAGCCACTTATATTCCTCTATTTCCTTTTGTCTATAATAGCTAAGCCAATTCGTATAGAACCTTATCTATCTATCTATCTATCTATCTATCTATCTATCTATCTATCTATCTATCCCATGTCTGTTCCTTATCTATCTAGCTCTCTCTCACCATATATATATATATATATATATATATATATATATATATATATGTGTGTGTGTGTGTGTGTGCCACTTATATTCCTGTTTCCTTTTTTATCTATAGTAGCTAAAGCATCAGTATAGAACCTTTTTTCGTCATCTCTTTTCTGTCTATTATTTTTTCCCAGCTGGCATTTTTCTTTCTTTTCACAACTTTCCTCGCCTTTCACTTCATCGCCGAATCATCTTCGCCCTCGTCCACTGTCCAGCACCGTGAGGGTTTCTCTCTGATCGGCCCTCTCCTTGTGTCCCGACATTTAAATAGACAGTAATGAGCAAGAGAGCTATTGCATCCTGTTGTTCGTTCGCCCACAAACCATTCACGTCATTTTTCAAAGTGCGCGTAACAAAATAATCCTTTCATTATTTTTTTTTTTTTACCATTATTGTTGTTTCTTTTTTTTTAAGCCTTGGCTTAGGTTGGGTGCAATAAAATCCTTCCACGGTCATCACCGCTTAGATGGCCGCCTCACAACGCCCTTGGAGAAGTTAACGAACTTATTCTGCCTTTGTATTCCTCCGCCGAGGGCAACAGTGATCGAGAGTATCCCGACAACCACCCCTATTTTTATATCGATTTCTTGCTGAATATCGAATCGCTTTTACCTATTCAAATTCAGTTATCTTTAATTCTAGACTTTTTTTTATTTCAATTTTCTCCTTTTTGCGTAGTTTTTTTCTTTTCGTTTTTTCTTTCTTTTTCGTCTCATTTTTTTCTTTTTTCTTTTTCGCTTCAAATTTTCTTTCATTTTCAGCGTCATTCAGCCATTATTTCTCTATTTATACTTACGAGATGTTTATGTCAACCGTGCCATCACAAGGAGATATTATTAAACAAATAAATGCAAACTTTTATCCGTTAGCGGTCCTGAGAGAACTAGATGTTCTGCACGGATTTATTATTGACGGACACAGTCTTAACAACACAGTTTTAACAACACAATATCTGAAGATGACCCAATGCTGATAGAAATTAAACTACAGGAACTACTCGTGAATTTAATAAACGAAAGTGAAATGAAAGAATTAAACATCAAGAAGACAAAAATAGATCCTCCTTGTGAAAATTAATTGAAACAACTGCTTTAATTTCCTTTCTTTCAACATACGGTCAGTTTTAGATCCACTGGAGTGACTGAGTGTTATCGATTTCTATTTTTCACTCGGATTAGGTCATTTGCAGTTGTGTGAAGCAATATGAATCTATTTTAGAGGTCTATGATGTAATTTGTTTGGCCTTGAAAAATATTGCGTCATCCGTGATTACATCAGATTTTTATCACGCCCAGACACTTTTGTCTTGACTGTCGATTAGTCATCCTACAGCAATTGTCTGCGATGGACTTTACTCCAAGGAAGCGTACAAAAATTGTAACGCTTCACAAACACAATGGCAAGGCTTACCAGTGAACAAATCAAAGTACTATAGACTGGCTCAGAAACTCTCCTGGTTTAAATCCAATCGAGAATCTGTGGTTAATCTGCAAGGAAAGACTTTATGGAATAGACATACGAAGTACTAACTTGGGTACTGGGTCATGTTCCATAGAAAAATACGGAAAAAAGTAAATAATAACGGAATTATTCATTTTGTTCTAGATGACTATGGCCCTCCACATCTTGCTATATAATTGAATTGCACAAGGTTGTAGGTGTCAGCATGAAAAACAATCGAAAACATGAGTTAAGAATTGGAGATGCAAAAATCTAATATGTACGAACATTTTGATATTTCGGGAGTGTTTTAATAGATGACGGAACTGTGATCCCGAAAGCCGAAGGTGCATTGATTTAGATGCCTTCCGAAAGTTAAGCAAAATATAAAGAAACAGAAAAATTTCGTTATAAACTAAGAAGCAATGTTCAACTGCTATTTAATATCAATAACCTTATATGACAATGAAAATTAATCACCACAGAGATATTTCCCTGCCCTCCATTAGAATGTCTGACGCTCAACTTCTCGAGAGCACCTCGCCGCGGTTGCTCGGTCTCACGTTGACTGCTGACCTGAGATGGAACAAATACATTGTGTCTATTGCTTCGTCCACCGCAAAGAAAGTTATTATTTACTTTTTTCCGTATTTTTCTATGGAACATGACCCAGTACCCAAGTTGGCTCCCTGTGAAATTTTTCTACCCGGAATCGATCCTCCAGATCTACAAATCATCAATTCGCCCTTGCATGGAGTATTGCTGCCATATATGGTCTGGTGCCTCTTCTGTTTGCCTCGGGGTTCTTGATAGGCCCCAGAGGCGGATATGCAATATAACTGACCCTGTTCTGGCATCTCCTCTACAGTCACTTTCTCACAGACGCGCCGTCGCCTCTCTCTGTGTTTTTTTTTTTTTACAAATACTTTCATGGCAATTGCTCCGAAGAGCTGCTTTTCCCAGACTTCATGAGTTCAAGCACCCTACGAGGCTGGCATCCCGCTCTCACCCTTTCACTGTCGAAACTCCTAAATGTAGCCGTCTCTTCTACTCCAAAGCTTCATGTCTCGCACCTCTCGCCTGTGGAACTCCCTTCCCTATTCCAGTTTCCCTGAGAGCTATAATGTCCAGCTATTCAAATGTAATGTCAATCGACATCTCCAGTTGCCTTGACCTATCCACTATCCTTCTCTTCATCCTTTCCTCTATCACTCCTATCTGATCTTGCTCCAAATTTTCTGTAAACCCTTGCGTCCTAGTGGCTTCTCGCCTTGCTTGGGGTGAAACGCTTAAAAAAAATGTTGGACACTTTTCTCACTGATGAAGAAACGATTTGATGCAACAGAGATGTCTTTCTAAAGAATGATACGGAAAGTACCGTGGACTGAACATGTGATTAACATGGAAATTTTAAGGATAACAGAACGAAAAAAATCACAAAACGCTTTCTCTTTAAATCAGAAATAGATAGTTAGTGAGGAAAGAAATCTGGGAAACTGTTACACCCCTAAGACATATTGGAGGCAATGGGGGCAGATGGAATCGCCGAGTCAAATGGGGTGGCATGTTTCAATGAAAAGGCAAACCTTACTAAGAGCTACAAAGGAAAGCTACAAAGAAAAGGACGTTCTGGAGAGACATGATCATTTAGGTCTTGAAGGGACAAGCCATATAGAAGAATAACAAGTCTGATCTCTGCTTCAAAAGTATTGAGTCATAACCATCGTCAGATTTCTTTGGCAGTGATCACAGCAGAACTTGGAATGCTACTTAAATTTTCGCCTTACAAGACTGCGTCGTCTTTTTATAAAAACTATATTCTATGAGTCGAAATTAAGAGAAGGTTTATTACTATGAACAATACATTAAGTATATTGATTTGTAATATATCCCTTTTTATTTAAATTGAAGCAGGTCTCACCAACAAGCTATGGGTAACGTTTATTAGATTTTATAGTAAAAGATTCCTGCTTTAGTTTCTAAATTGTTATTATTGTGTTTTGCATTAAATAAATCTCTTATAATTTTAGAAGTATACCCTTGTGTATATTAATTGAAACAAAACAAATAATTCCGTTTTCCGCCGTATGTCTCAAGAAGAAATCTGTACGTTTCAAATGCATGTTTCTTATGGGTAAAATTCTCCGCAAATACACTATCTTTGGTACGAAATCCGAAACTGGAAAACAAAGTTGTTTACACTTCGGCAAAATGACATACACTGAATTTCAAGCTTGCTTATAGTACTTCCATATAGATGAAAACTGCACGCAGTTCTTGGAACGACATATGTTGGAAAACAGCGGGAACCTATTCAAGGTCATAATACACACACACACACACACATATATATATATATATATATATATATATATGCATGCATAAAAAAGTCTATCCTTATCTCTCATCATATCAACTATTAAAGTTTCATCTACTAAACCCATAAGTCCACCAGCCACAATGAGTCCCTATGTGTATCTGTCTATATTTCTGAGATGAGGTATCATGTACACTATTTACATTATTCGGACTATTGTCCTACATCTTTGTCGCCATATTTATTACAACATTTCAGCCGTTGTACGCTCTGGCCTTCTTCAGGTGGTTGGAATGACGAAATGAAACCTTTATTTCGCTCACTGGGGTAGACTGTTCTAGTTCCACGTTCCATGTTTAATGGATGTCAGTTATCAGTTATCTCCTGTTAATTCCACACTGCAAGTTCTCCATTGCCTTAACCTGGTGTTGAACTCACACTCTTTGGGTCCTGTCACTAAATCTAACCAACGTCTTTATCCACTGTGCTATGTGTCCCTAAATGTTAGGCTGAAAAGTGTTCGGCGCTCGTCAATCGAAAAAACTATATTTACCAGACCTTGTACCAACCTTGATCGTTCTCGGCAAAATGCTTTGATGGAAAAAAACCTTCCTTACTGGGTACGTCAGACATTCGGGCTTGTCTCACGTTTGGTTTTATTTAGCGTCATATCAACATCACTATCGGTTATTTAATGCCGAAATCTAAATATTTGGGGCACATTTTTTATGGCTTCAACTAAATATATAGTAAAAGTAATATATAAGTAAAAGTATATGAGGTTGAGGCCAAAATAACTTTGCTTTTTGTTTATTCAACTTTATTCTTCAAAAGAAAGTACAATAATATTATATTTATAGTTTTTAGATGTAAAAGATTTCAACGAAATCTTGAACATAAGTTCAAAAAATAGAAAATGGAGGAAGGAAGATTGTGCTGCGCCAGTCTTGGAAATGGGGATACCTGTCTAGCATTCAAAATCAATTCAAAGCTCAGTATTTGGTACCTAAGAAGCCAGTTGTGAACGAATGCGGTCTCGATCAGCTAGTCAGCCTAATGAACCACATAACAAACCTTACCATCCGAATTCTGACGAATAGAGAGCACATTAGTTTTAGACATGGAACAGAATAAAAATAGCGAATTTCTGTTTAAGACACCGGAGCAATGAATGCAGGATTTCTATTCCGAATGATATCAGAGTAAAACAAATAAAAAAAAGGATATAATCTGGTGTTTCATTATGTAAAAGCATTTGATAAAGTGAAACATGATGAACTAACTTATGTACCCTCAATATATTTTGGAAGTGTTGAATAATCCAGAGCTCATACCTGAACCAAACTGTTACATACGGATAGAAAGTGAATTCAGTAAATACACAACATAAACGTAGGTAATACGTCTTGTTTCGGAAATGTTAATCTTTGGAATTTATCAGAAAGTTAATTTTTTATTGTTTCATTTTTACGGCTTATCAACCCTTTGCAGAATATATTTTTAGATTGTAAGAATCTTCTTTTTGGTCAGGGAAGATAAGTGATAAATTATATTAATTAAGCTATAGCTGGGGAAAGGAGAGATGGATTCATAATTTCTCGGCGTCATTTGCGCGTTAAGTGACTACAAGGAACCAAACTGGAACTGAAACTCTGCTATCCGATTAACAATGCTTTATCTATTATAAGACTCGCACATCGAAGCTGACAGCGCTTGTTATTCGCAAACGGTCACCCATCTGATGATCTGTCCCGACGTTGCTTACCTTTGGTCATCGTACGGATTTTTCGTTACCGATTCCACCTTATTTCAATTTCTTTGTTGTGTAAATGAAAAAGGCTTTACAAGTGATTCGAGACATTATGTGCTAGATTATTGCTTTTTACAATTCACTGACAGCATTCTGTCGGATCTCTAGACAATGAAATAACATTTTTTGGAGTCACAGGCCGTTCTCTAAGTCTTACAAGTTCTATGGGTAATGGAAATTAAATTAGTGCCTGCAGAACAGTGATTCGCTGAATACATTTTCGATTTGGTTCTAATTAATGGAAACTTAATGACTTTCTTTGACGCTAATTGGACGCAATGTCATGAATGAATATAACTGGAGAGAGAGGGGTGTATTTTCACATTAGAATTGGTCAACCTATACAGTGTAGTAACCCTGGGAGAATTACAACTTTTAACACGATTCATTATTGGCGACCACAGTCTTCACAAATACAGCGTGTCCATAAAGTTCGGGTGCACTTTAAAAAATTTATAATTTTATTTATATTTACGATAGAAATAATTTGTAAAAAGGATAAGAAAGAAGTAAATCTATATGTTTAAAGGTTTTATTGAAAATGTATTTAAGTTTCCACATGTCCTCCATCATTAGCAATACAAAGGGTAATATGATTTTGCAGTTCACGGAAAACATTTGCCAACTGATTTACAGTAATGCCTGAAATCACATTAGTTATTTTAGCTATAATTAAAACGAGGTACATTAAACTTTATAACATTTTTTACAGATTATTTCTATCGTAAATGCAAATAAAGTTTTTAAAGTGCACACGAACTGTATGTACAAAATGTATTAGGCATGCAGATGATAAAGTGCTGGTAGCTGACAGAGAAAAGAAAAGACAGGAACTCATACAGAACGGAATAAACTGAGAAGAAAGGACGAAAAATTAATTGTAAAGAAACAGAATGTATGTTGCCAGCAAAAGGGGCAGTCCAACATGCGATTTACAAATTGGGGATACCAAAATCAAGCAAGTACAAAACATTAAATACATAGAAATTGTTTTAACGCAGGATGGAAAATTGTCCTGAACATTTCAAATAAATATATCCTGATAATTGTCCTGATATTTTCAAATAAATATATCCAGATAATTGTCCTGATATTTTCAAATAAATATATCCAGATAATTATCCTGATAATTTCAAATAAATATATCCAGATAAGTGTCCTGATATTTTCAAATAAATATATCCTGATAATTGTCCTGATATTTTCAAATAAATATATCCTGATAATTATCCTGATAATTTCAAATGAATATGTCCGGATAATTGTCCTGATAATTTCAAATAAATATATCCAGATAATTGTCCTGATAATTTCAAATAAAATATAACTTGATAATTGTCCTGATAATTCAAATAAATATATACTGATAATTGTCCTGATAATTTCAAATGAATATATCCTGATAATTGTCCTGATAATTTCAAATTAATATATCCTGGTAATTGTCCTGCTAATTTCAAATAAATATATCATGTTAACTGTCCTGCTAATTGCAAATAAATATATCCCAATAATTGTCCTGATAATTTCAAATGAATATATCCAGATAATTGTCCTGATAATTTCAAATGAATATATCCAGATAATTGTCCTGAAAATTTCAAATGAATATGTCCTGATAATTTTCCTGATAATTTCAAATAAATATATCCTGATAATTGTCCTGATAATTTTAAATAAATATATCCTGATAACTGTCCTGGTAATTTAAAATAAATACATACTGGTAATTGTCCTGATAATTTCAAATGAATATGTTCGGACAATTATCCTTATAATTTCACATAAATATATCCTCATCATTTTCCTGATAATTTCAAATAAATATGTCCTAATAATTTCAAATAAATATGTCCTGACAACTGTACAAACTTCAGTTCGTTAATAACATGTATATTTTGAAAGCATTGGAGTTGTTTTAGCTATTTCACCCCAAGTAAGGCGATAAACCCACTAAGACGCAAGAGAATGGGCTACTAGGAACGAAAAAGAAGGAAAAGTCTTTATAATCAACAGGAAACCCAATAATAGCCTCAATTTCACAATTTAGACGGAGACGTTAGATCTGTAGATTTGAAGGAATCCAGAAATCCAATCCTAAAGAGAAACAAAGTAAAAACCTCTACTCCTGCTCAAATGATAGGGCAGGGTGTGAACTGGACGATGAGTGTACTTATCTAATGCTATTCATAATAGGACTTGCATAATGAAATATGACACAGCATAGCAATTCAAAGGCGGATCATTTTAATACTTAATAAGTATAGTAACCGAATCCCCCAATTAATATCCAGTCGAAACTTACATTTGTATTTAGCTTAAATATATGCTGATAGTTTTGCCTACATCAGTTGTTTATTAAAAATTTTATAGTAAAAAATCTGGAAAAATTCCTATGAATTTCGGGATTATTACTTAATAACAATATAAAAATAATTCCTCAATTGATGTCCACTGGAAACTTGTATTAATATTCAACACACACACACACAAACACACAAAGATATATATATATATACATATATATATATATTGTTGTAAACGTTTTGGTTGTAACGTGGATTTATTTAGAAAAAAATTTTGTTTGTTTTATAATTTTACATTTTTTAAAATTATGTAAAACAAAGAATAATATTAGGTTGGTGCAAAAATAATAACGTCAAAAAAACGACATTATTACGTCATTATTTTTGCACCAACCTAATATTTTTTTTTCCTAAATAAAACCACATTACAAACCAAAAACATTTGCGGCACTCTCTTCTCTTCTTTTTAATATACATACTTTTCTCTCGTTGGAACCACTACCACATATTTCTTTTATATATATATATATATATATATATATATATATATATATATATATATATATATATATATATATATATATATATATATATTGATTTTTGTCTCAGCATCACTTGGTTAATATCAGTCTTGTTGCAAAAACTTTGACTTCCATAATAAAATTTAACATAGATTAATTATGCTTACTTTTTTTTTAAATTCTTGACTAAATATTTCATTTTTAGATAGATACTTAATTATATATTTGATTGAAGGAATGTGTCGCAAAAACAAATATTTTTTCAAGTTTGTCTGCAATGTAAAAAAAAATATAAAAAAAATATGAAAATCTCCTGTCTGGCTAATCAGGTAAATATCAAATCCCAGTATAATCAACAGAGACACACGCCGATCAGTACAAACGGTTAAAATTATAATTTGCAATCAGTGAAAAACTTCAAAAGGTCAATATATGTCAAACATAAAAAGAAATATCTCATCAATGCTCGCTTAAAGCAGAAAAGCGAATAACTGCCATCAACAGTGTCACATGCGTATCTTATATTGGTAGACAGAGAAGGAAAACTAGAAGACCTCCATAACAATGCTGTGAAAGAAAGCGGGAAGAAAGGACTATGCATCGAAAAAAAAAATGACAAAATTTATGGTTGTTAGCAAGAAGATGCGGGCTATGAATAGTTGACGTTATAATTTGGTGGCTTTCCAAACCTTATAGGTTATTTAAAGCCGAAAAATAAATATTTTCTACATTATTTTTATCCCGTAGGGGATCGTAGTGAGCTGGTCGTAGGGTAAGAGTAGAAGTTGTGTTTCTTGGGCAAGATAGCCTAACACAGCCTAACTCCCTCCAGGATTGTTTTGAATTCAGAGTTTTTCCTTCTCCTAGACCGGTTGCCATTCAAAGCTATAGAACCCACTCTGTTCTACTATTTTCCCATAGCTGGGGGGCGGGAGAAGAGGATTCATACCTTTCTCAAGGGTATTAGCAGGACTGCATTTCTAATTCGGCTCTCCGATTCCGCAATCTGAGCCGCTATCAATTACTCCACCATGCGTCCCATCCAATTTCATGGCTTCAACTAAAAAACAGGTCTAACCTTGACGGATAGGAACCGCCATGTCACTTGCATAATAGAAAACCACCTGCGTATTTCCATCGACGAGAAGTAAGTTCCACTCAAACAACTGTTTTCCGTGAACCACTGCCCCATGGAAGAGACATCCCAATCCTATCACTATGATCTTAACCTGTTCAAGTCTAGACTTAACCGTTATTTTTCCCTCTTATCCATATATCTACCCCTTAATGTAACTCTCTACCTCGAGGACTCCCAGGTATTTTTTTTTACAGAGTAAACCTTCATATATATATATATATATATATATATATAGATAGATAGATAGATAGATAGATAGATAGATAAAACCTAGTGAGTCAGATAAACCTACCAGGTTTCACCTAAGCGGATCGTCAGGGAAATCTTTCCCTGATGATCCGCTTAGATGAAACCTGGGTAGGTTTGTCTGGCTCACTAGGTTTATCTAGGTCTGCTCTACGGTTGTATTGAGCTCTTTTTGTTAGTTAGTTGTTACTCGTATCGGGGTTTTTTCTTTTGGGCTTCAGACCTGCATCTGTGCGATTTTTTTTGTCGGCAGAAGTTCATGTTTGTAGCTCTTTTTTCTTTTTTTAAAACCTTATTTTCCTCGAGATTGATTTGATTAGCAAATCAAAAATTGAGGGTTGTTCGAAACGAGTCTATCTATCTATCTATCTATCTATATATCTATCTATCTATCTATAAATATATATATATATATATATATATATATATATATATATATATTGTTTTCCCTCATCCCTTTTACCATCTATCTGTCCTGTGAGTATAAAATTTTCCAGGCCCTCTTTTCTCATTATGTGCCCTAGAAATTTCAGTTGTCTCTTCCTGATATTAAGTATAAGTTTCCTTTTTGTTTCCATTTTCTCTACAAAACCGTTGTTGCCCACGCGTTCGGTCTATGGCATTCTCATCATCCTTCTGTAGAATCACATTTTTGTTGCTTTACGTCTCTTCTTCATCTGTGATGAGATTGTCTTGTGTTCATTGTTGGAGGCCTAATATTCCATAACAGGTCAGTACTCTTTTCTTTATTCCTATCAATATTTTTACTTTGCTTAGCTTTTGGAATGCATTTTCGTTATCACAATGCGTCTTCTAATTTCCGTCCTCTGTTAAAACATTTCCCAGGTGGTGATACTTGTTTGATTTTTGTATCTCTAATTTGCATGTTTGACTGTTCCTTTTGCTAACAACCCTGCATTCTCTTACAATTGTTGTTTCATCTTCTCTCGCTTTCTTTCTTTATCTTCTGTAGAAATTATTATAATTTCCTATATTATCCGCATATCTTATGTTGTTAAGATTGTGACCGCCAATAATAAATCCTGTTAGGATTTTTAATTCCTTCAGAATCGTCACGCTGTCTAAGTTAAATATGTCCGGTGAGACGACACATCTTAACAACTTTCTATTTTTGTATATTTATTCAGTTCATTTTATATCAATATGTAGATGTTTTGCTGAATTATTCTAATATTCCTAAATATATCAAGGTTACCTCTCATTCCCAACATTTAATTCTGATGTACTTTATTAAATGATTTTGCATAATCTATAAAACAGAGGTACCGATCCTTTTGCATGAGTCTTGTCCTTTTCTTGTCCTATTTCCAGTATAAGTTTGTGACGCGTTCTGTTCGTCAGAATTTAGATGGTAAGTTTTGTTATATGGCTTACTAGGTTGATTATCCCATGGCCTTCATATTTGTTTACGTCTGGCTTTTTAGATAGTGCTACAAAAGATCTACTTAGATCTTCCGGTATATCACAACTCTTGCATATTTCATTTATCATATCTATAATCTTGTCAATGCCGAGAACATCTAAGGCTGCCAGCATCTCTATTACGATATTTATTTCTGTTACAAATACAGAAAATGTGGTACAAGGCCTAAAAAGGGGGATAGGGAAAAGGACGGTCTTCATCTGTGTTCATTTTAAACTCAGCCAGCCACAAGCACTGACCCAAGCATACAAACAATATTCCTAACACCAAAACAACACATTCTTACTAACCTTTCTTACTACATCCAACATAATACCTCATTGTCTCAATGAAAATCCTAAATAGTCTCCATATGTACAAATCGCCGTGTGTGGCGGCGAATGAAACAACAAATTAAAAAATCCCCAGTGAGTATATACAATAGGAATATAATATATTTACAATAAACTAAACAAAATCATGTTAGTAAGAAAACCACCCACAATCCTTAAATGTGGCGGAAATATCAGTTAACTGGAGGAAATCAATGCGGGACTATAAAAAATATTAAAAAATAAAACTTCATTCATCCCTAGCACTCACACAGACAGGCAATTATCCAAACACGACAACAAAAACGAAAAACACACAGGCGAAAAATGAAAAACGCCCCGCATCCCCCAGAGAACTGACATCACTGACCAGCTAACGAGGGAGGGGATGGGGATTTAAACTAAAGAAAAATAGGGACATAAATAAAAGGGGTTAATGCGCAAGCACACCCTAGATCCATTACAATTCCGTCTGGTCATACTGCTTTGTGTTCTGTTCAATTTTGGCCAATGCTGATTCCATTTCAAATTTGAATATTTCTGATCCTTCGATATTTCTGTGTATCGCCAGTTTTCCTCTTTCGATGTGTTCGTCAATGCATTCTTCCCCCTCTGAAGTATTTTTTATTCTTTAATATCATCGTCCCATCTATAAATTTTGTGCATCCTGATGAGTAGCATGTCTTTTAACCTGTTAGTTCTTTTATGTTGTTATACATATCTGCTTTCTCTGTGATACTCATTCTTTCTATTCCTGCATATTTTTCGTTGAGCCATTCCTCTTTAGACCGCTTGCATTTGTTACTGATTTTTTTCGTACCGACTCCTATATTCTGTGCCATAACTTGGCATTGTTTTTTGTCTCCTTTTTATCATTTCGAGAATTTCAACTGTCATCGATTCGTTTTTTCTTTGTCTAGTTTTCAAATTATGATGTTACTAAAGCTTCTTTTATTGTGTCCCAATTCGAGTTTTCATTCTCATTTTGTCCATTATATCTGCTTTTAACACTGTCCACATTTTTCTCCTTCACATTTGGGTCATTAATGGGGCTGTCGTATTGCAATTTGGTTACTGCCTTGGTCCTTTTCAATTTTCGTAGTTTCACTCTAAATTTGCATATCATTGGAAGGTGGTCACTCCCGCAGCCGGCACTTAGGTATTATTTGAAGTGTAAAACTGCATTTCTCAATCGCTTATTTATATTTATATTGTCGATTTATTTTTATCGTTTCTCCTTTGGGTCTTCTCCATGTCCAGATACGTCATGGGTGTTCTTGAAACCAGGTATTGGCTACTACATAGTCATTTACCATGAACAATTGGACCAATTTTTCTCCGCATTCATTACGACTTCCTCATCCGAATTTGCCAACTATTTCCTCATCTCTTTCCTTACCTATTTGGCATTCATGTGTCCTATGAAGAGTATAATTGCTTGAGATTTACACTGGGCCTTGGCGTTGTCTAACGGACAGTAAACATATTGATTTCCTTCTTCAGTACTTTGTGTTGTCAGTAAATATACAATTATGATGAATATATTGAAAGGCTTTTTCTTTCAGTTTAATGGTAAGAATTATTTAAGATATTTCCCAGTATCCCAGAACACATTTCTTCATAGCTTGGGCTAGTATCAGTCCTACTCCTCTGTTATATTTCCTTCAGCCTGTTTATATGATCCTATGTTTGCCACTGACGAAATTTCTTTTGTTTGCTCTTCTCAGTTCGTATACGCCTAAAATATTAACATATAACCTGGTTTATTCTTGTTTTATATTTTCAAAATGGCCACATTGATTTACTGTTCGGGCTTTCCATGTCACTAAATTTATTTTTTGCTTTACGCCAATAGTCACTGGATGACGGTCTGATGTTCGTGTATTCTAAGGAGTTTGACCCCCTTTACGCTGTTTTTTCCCACAATCGCTGGAATACGATCAGGTGACACCTGTTGAACATGTCCCTTCTTACCGGACGAAGAGCTAATTCCAATAGACTTACCACGTCAACTACCATCTTCAAAAATTTAAATGCAATATCAATCGTCATTTTCAGTTTCATTGGATCTTCTATGTTTCTTTTATCCTTAGTAACCTAGAGGTTTTATTATCATGCATGGGGTGAAATAATTCAAATAATAATTTGGAATACTATTAATACTAAAGTGAACTCGAACCTATATTGAAGCCTCACATTTGTGGCCTGGTCCTTCTTGTCCATCTTGGAAACACCTGTCTGTAAGCGCGCATGCGTGTATGAAAGGAAAGACGTGCGAGGAAAGAGAAAAGGTGAAAAGGAAGAGAGAATGGTAGAAAGAAGCAGGAGACGAAAGAAAAAGAGAAAAGGATTGAAAAATGTCTTGAAAACACGGAGGAAGAGATTCTTTATAAAAATAAAACAAAAAAAAATCAGCAAAAAGCAAATTTTGAAAAAAGAAGCTTTAACTTTGATCGTAAAACGGCTTCAGAGAAAACTGGCAGCAGCAAAAGTAAGATATAAAATGAACTGAAGGCCCCATTTTGTCCCAAGGCTCTGAATTCGTCTGAGACGAAATTTTCACTGCAGGCTAGGGTAAGTTTCGCGTCGCCTCGTGACGCCATAGAGACGCGTTCTATTGCTAGAAAAGAAAAAAGAATAGCAATCGTCCGGGCGGGAGAAACGAGTAATATCGAAGTAATAAGGGGAGAATGTGCTTGGTTTAGGATGAGGAGAAGGTGGATAGAAAAGAGTTCTCTTTGAAGGCAAGAAAAACAGAGGAAAAACAAAAAGGCCAAAAAGATAAAAAAAAACTAAGGTCAAAGGGAAAACTTCACAGAAGAAATAAGTAGAATAAAAAGAAAATTTAAAAATAAAAAAGCAAATGTTTAAAATTGCTGAGAGATATTTGAAAAAGAATATAGCCAAAAACAACAACAACAAAAAAAATACAAAGAGTGAAAGACGGGCTTCTTAAGTGGGGCGGCCGATTGCTACTGGCCGGTGACCGAACTGAGGTATAATTATCGAAATTTCCATTTTCGAAGTAAGACAACCATTTCCCATTTGCAAAATTGGCGTTGCATGATACTCCCACACTTTTCGCTCACCACACCTATTTAGCTTTGACGAAGCTTATTATTGTCTATTTTTTTTTTAGATTTTACTATATATTGCAACGCCACATTTCAAAATTAATGAAGTGGCTCCTGTCAAGATCCTGTCAAGTAAATTAATTTAACGTGGAAGGTATCTCGATTCTTTGGCCACAGAGACATTTTGTCATGAAAAAGTAATATAAGAATTTCACACAAATAAAAAATTATCTTAGTTTAATATATATATATATATATATATATATATATATATATATATATATATATAATTTATAAAGACATTTTTTATGCTTAACATTCTTTTTATAGATACAAATATTTGACCATGCCAACCGAACGCTCCTCTGTGGCCAAATCGGTAAAGGCATGTCATTTTAAATGACGGTTCTGTATAGGATACAGGTTCGAATCCTGTCGGAGGACGAATATTTTCCTATGAAAATTTCTCGACATTCACCCAAAGTAAATGTTGTTTAATAGGGCTTTTATTATAAACAGAGCATCTACTTAAATATTTGTATCTATAAAAAGAATGTTAAAATATAAAAT